ATGGCCATGCTGCTGGTATGCTGCTCGTAAGGAATAGTTTTCTGAGGCCTCAAAACTACCTTATACTCAAAAGTCCCACGCCCGCCAGTAAAGACACACATTGAAGCAGCCAAACCTACCAGGCAAAAAAAAGCGCGCTAACCTACTATAAGGGTCACTATAAGGGTTGCTATAAGGGTTCTATAAGGGTTAAGTATAGGGGCCTTACTACTTAGAATAGGGCTTGGGGGGTATATAACCTCTACTATGAGTGTAATCAGGAACCCCCAAAAATAGCCTTGGTCATTTTTCTAAGGCCCCCTTTGTTCTGAAGAAGAAGGCAGGGACTTTGAGCCTGTAATGAGGCACCTGCGGGCTTCAGGGCCAGAGGCCGAGGGCCATCAGGACTTTGGGGTTAGGGTTTAGGGATTAGGGTTTAGGGTTTAGGGGCCATCAGGACTTTGGTCTACGCTTTTGATGAGATGCGACGTCTTTCAGGGTTTAGGGTTTAGGGTTTAGGGGCGAAGCCACAGAAACTGAACTGCGACTGTTGGTGTCGTCTTGAAAGTACTTTTGGCAACACCCGGCAGCATGACGTAGCAGCTAGAGGCGCGCACCAGTTGGTTTGTGGCTTCCGCCGAGGACTTCATGCTGGCAAGACGACTGGCGGGAGGCCAACAGTGACAACAAAGGCATCACAATGCCGGCAGATCGGAAGGTTCTATATATACTGCTCATAAACTCGCCCTAAACCCTAAACCCCTAAAACCCTAAACCCTAAAACCCTAAACGCTAAACCGCAAACCCTACACCCTAAACCCTACACCCTAAACCCACCCTTTGCTGAAGGTCCATCAATTGCACTGGAAAGGCGGCACGACATCTGCACCTGATGCATTGACATGCAGCATCCAAGTAATCTCAATGCCCCGGGCTGATTACGGTTTAGGGGTTAGGGTTTAGGGTTTTAGGGTTTAGGGTTTAGGGTTTTAGGGTTTAGGGTTTAGCGTTTTATGATGTCCTGGCCCAAACCCACAACAAGCTGCCCCAAACCGTAAACTGTAGACATCTACCCATAGGCCCCATAGCAGTTCCCTTTTGGGATTACCACGGATTACCTAATAGGATCCTAAACATAAGCCACAAAAAGGAACTACTATAGGGGCCTATGGGTAGACCGCAGTTCCACAGCACGCAGCCTCCGAGCGATCGTCGAAAGCTCGGGCCTGTGCTCTGCAGTGACCCAAGGCGCCAGGACGCGGGCTTATGTAGGGCTCTACGGCTTCCAAATGTTTTCAGGATTTCAGGGCTGTATCAGGGGCTTCTGACTTCTAGGCCCTGAACCCTAAACCCGTTTTACTGCTTCAGGAGTTCCGGACGAAGGGCTTGAGGGCTTTACGGATTTCCCTAAAGCCTTATGCCTTAATGGGCCTCGGGGAAGATGCAAACCCAGGAGCTGGGGGATACTGTAGCTGCCCTTTCCGGGAGTGTACGGCTTCGAACCAACATCCCTTCATGGAGGTTGAACTTTTCCCGGATTGAAGCCGTCGTGAGCCAGTACTGTCTTGCCATCAACTTTTGCATTTCAACGGAGAAGTTCCCAAAAGTATGGCCCGTGTTGACAGGCTTACTACTTGAAGGGACACACCCGAAAAGTCCGAGGGCCGCACCACTCGGCTGGGTGAAGCCCGTCACCGGCCGATCCTGGCAAGGAACCCTTTAAGAGAGTGTTTAGGGCGTAGGGTTAATATCTAGAGAACCAGAACGGGGCTCCTTTAAAGGGTTCTTTCAAGGTTTCTTTTAGAGTTGCTAGTGTCGTTACTGTCACTTTTGTACAGGGACCCTAATAATTGAAAGTGGGCTTTGGGGTACATCATACTCTGAGAGAGACAGAGAGATAGTGCCTCTCTCTCTCTATATATATATTGTTTATGTGTGTATATTATATATCTATACATACAAATGTGTGCATATATAATATAGCTATCTGTTCAGGGTTTTGTGGCTTAGGGTTGACAGGGTTGGGGCTTGGGGGTTTCGGGTCTCAGGGCCTTGTGGTTCTGCGGTATCAAGCCCAGAGTAATGTAGAGCCTTAATCATTAGAACACGGTTTTGGGATATATCATAACTATAATGATAATAAGCCCCAAAATAATGTTGGCAAAAAATTAGGCCGCCATAGAATCCAGTATCCTAAACCCTTCCGCAGGAGACGACTCATGTGTTGGATCGCAAGCACTTTTCAAGGCCTCGGGCCCACTCCTAAATCCTAGGTTCTGCCAGGATGGACTCGATGACTCGGAGTTCAGGGTTACTGTGCACAGCGCACCAGGGGCTTGGGGTCAGGGGTTTAGGGTTCAGGGTTCAGGGTTTAGGGTTTAGGGTTTAGGGTTTAGGGTTTAGGGTTTAGGGTTCGGGAATTTGGTCTAGGGTCATATCAATTCCACTGAAGTTCGCGGCTGGACCTTCTGATTTCAGGTCCCTGTCAGATCCGATGCTGAGCCCTACATGCTGAAAAAATGCACATACACCCTATGTAAGCCCAACTTCTACGTATAAAAACCCTGAACCCTAAACCCTGAAGCCCATGTACAACCGAGTGTGGGTTCAGGCAGACCCTCGGTACCAAGGCATGCGCCGCTAGCGACGTCCGACGCGCAGAGCCGCTCGATCCTCCCAGTCAGCAGAAGTCTGCTTGCAGGGCTGATGCTTTGGGATTTTGGTGGGTTTTTTGGGGTTTAAGGATTTGGGATTTTGGGGTGTAAGGTGTAGGATTTGGGAATTAGGGCTTCGGGTTTAACTAGGTTGGAACATTGCATAATAACGCTGTACTTCATAAGAAAAGGGGCCGAAGAAAAAACAAAACGTCTAGTTGTCCTAGCTCACTCTGGCATTTTCCGTTCTTGGCCTTGGGACCCTGGGCCTGTTGCTGACTCAGGCTGCGAAGCTACAAAAAGAATCGCACCCCAAGTTCTTCACATATAGGACTCTACGATTTAGGCATATGTAGGTTAAGTTGAAATAAAGTGGGTCTTCGCGTCTTTGGTGTTCAAACTACACAGGACTAAAGTTGTCAAACATCGAGGCCCACTCCTTCATTCAGCCGTCATCTCTGTTTCACAGTTCTCCACTCACTCCGTTCCACCCACCAAGGTTCCACAAACCCAGCGAGGGACTTGTCTTCGGGATTTCAGGACACAGCAGGTCAGGTTGGGGCCGCACTCGTTTCGCCAAGCCCTTGACCACTAAATCTGAAAGCATTAGGGTTTAGGGTTTAGGGTTTAGGGTTTAGGGTTTAGGATTTAGGGTTTAGGATGGTGGCTCAAGGGCGGCGATGCACCAGCTCCTCCTTGGGCGCCATTGCTGTAGCCGCCGTTGGACTGTGCGATGTGCACGAAACGACTTTCGGTGCCACGAAAAACCACGCACACACAAAGCTGCGGATATTGTTGCAACTTCTGATTCTATGGCAAGTGCTCTTTTGAGAACTCCAAGCTTCTTCGATTTAAGGTGCCTGCCAGTGTAAGAACTGACTTTGAGGGTTGGCCTTAAACTTTTACCTGCAAACGCCGTCTCCGAGGGTTCGGGATCGACAGCACGGAATAGCCAGCTCGGAGACCAGAACCCAAGAACCCAAAGCAAAGGTAAACGAAGCCATCAGGCCGAATGCCAAAAACGTGAGAAACTCTTCCTATCCTAATCCATGACGTTGGCAAAAAACCCGAAAACCCCAAACCCTAAACCCTAAACCCCAAGCCCTAACTAAACTCGGATGCCCCCCCCCCTTTTATGCAATTCCGCCCTAAGCTGCCGAGGCGCAGGATGCAGAGGCCGATCGTCTGGATTGCGTATCCTGGCAGTTTAGGGTTTAGGGTGTAGGGTTTAGGGTTTAGGGGCTTCGGGCCTGCAGTAAGGGGCCGTGCACGTGGGCTGCACCGTACACCGCTGAGACGCAGCTAAATCGTGCGCAAGCATCTAGAAAAGGAGCTGGAGCCGCAAACCTAAAGTATGTCTTGAAGCCCACCTAAAGCAAAA